GCTCGGCCAGCGGCTCGTAGTCGGCGACAGTGATTTTCTCGTTGTTCATTACCCACTCACCGCGCCCCAGGACGCTGTAGACGCCCCAGTGGATGAAGACGCCGAACTTGGCGTCCTGGAACCATTCGCGGGCGGCGAGATTCTCCGAGGTGGGCTCGTAGGACCGGGCCGCGCCACCGGTCAGTATCAAGAAGGCGATTGACAGAGAGGCGAGTCGTGTCATAGGTCGAGTCGAAGAGTTGGTGTGTCGAAGAGAAGTCCCAACAGTTTAATGGAAAACGGCCCCCGCTGGGCGGCGATCCCGGCACGAACTACCTTCGAGAACTCCTCCTCTCCCCTAGCCGAGCCGCCCCACCATGGCGAAACAGCCGACCAACGCTCAGCGCGGCCACGCCTGCCCCCTTTTGCCAGCGGGCTGGGAAGTCCCCGCCGAGTTCCGCGAGCGCCTCGGCGACGACGTCGGCCGTCAGCGGGTCATGGCGGCCGAGGGGCATTTGCTGTTGGTGCTGCACGCCCCGCCGAAATCGGGCGAGGATTACCGCGTCGGCCGTCTCTTCTGGCGTGACCGGGACGGACGCTGGAAGCCGCAAGGTCTCACACACAACGAGCACGCCATCGGCGAATTGCTGCGTGAGTACGAAAGCCGCGTCGATGAGATCGATACCCTCGAAGACGAAGCCAACGAGTCCTCCGACTATTTCGAGATCCTCACGGAAATCGGCCCGCTGATCCGCTCCGCGAACAACCTGCTCGGCGTTCTCGAAGAAGCCCGCACCCTCGCCAAAAAGGACCGAGCCTTGATTCTGCTCCGTGACCGGGCCTACGCCCTAACCCGGCGGCTCGACCTCATCCAGCACGAAGCCCAGACAACGATCAACTATCTGATCGCCCGACGGGCCGAAGAGCAGGCCGAAGCGGTCCGACACCAAACCGCTGCCGCCTACCGACTCAACATCCTGGCGGCGTTCTTTTTCCCCGTAGCGACAATTTCTGCGATCTTCGGGATGAACCTAAGCAACGGCCTCGAAGTGATCGACGCCAGGATTGGCCCCGCAACCATGGCCCTTTTGGTAGGCGGCGGCCTGGCGATGGGTGCCGTGCTCTCGTTTATCGTGACCCGCAAGTGGTAGGACGGTTGTGTCGATCCAGACGCCTAACCGCGGCCCCGCCGCCGCGGTCGGAACAGCCGCCTTCACCCTACGAGTTAACGCATCCGCTGCTCTTCTCGCAGATTGCCGTCGCTGTCATAGCGGACCGACGCCATGTAAACCGCGACGACCACAAGGATCGGCGGCAGGGCGTAATAGAGCCAGATGCCCGAGTAGTACGCCATCGCAATCGACGCCAGCATCACGAGGGCGAAGATCCACCACGTCTGACCGAGAAACTTGCGGATGCCTTTCATCGGGCAGGTATTGATCCAATGCGGCGGCAGGCGCCGGCGTAAGCCAAAACGAAAGTCGGCAGCAGCGCCGTGGCGGTGGGTTCCGGGACAGCGGTCCCTAGCCCTGCCGCCTGCATCGCGTCTCGCCAGACGGTGTAGTCGGCGGCGTTCACCACTCCGTCCGAGTTGGCGTCGGCCGCTGCGTTCGACGAGCCAAAATCCTGCCGCCATAAGTTGTAGTCCGATTGGTTGACGATCCCATTGCCATCGAAGTCACCCGCCAGTAGAGGCGTCTCGAGGTAAGCGAGAAAGCCGTCAGAATTCTGATCCGTTCCGAAGACGCCGTCTCCGTAAATCGTCCCTGCGATCCAGATCCGCTCACCTTTCCCATCCACCACGATCCTCGAAATCCTATCGCTGATCCCGAAGTCGAACTGCTTCTCCCAAAGCCGCACGCCGGTTGGCGAGTACTTTGCGACGTACACGTCGGACGAGACCGGCGTTCGGTTCCCCATATTCCGCACTCCACCGACGTAGATATTCCCCGCGTCGTCCACGTCCAGCCCATAAAACTCGTCGCTCCCTGGCGTGACGAGCGTCCGTTCCCAGATCCGCGTCCCGGACTCGTCATACTTAGTGAGAAACGCGTCCGGCAATCCACCGGTGGCGTAGTTCTGCGAAATGAACGTGTAGCCGGCGATGTAAACCGAACCTTGCCCGTCGGTCTCGACGGCCCGCGCGCCTTGGGGTTGGCTCGCCGAGCCATATTGGCGAGACCATTCCACCTCCCCTTGGCTACTGAGCTTGATGAGCATCGCGTCGGTCGAGGTGTTGTCCGGGCCGGCAAACGCCCCGTACGTTAGTCCCGCGACGTAGTAAGCCCCCGCGCCGTAGGCCATGTCATTCACCACGTCCCAATCGCTGGTGCCGACCTGCTCCCCCCACCGGCTCGTGACCCCATTCGTGCCGGATCTGAGTTCGGCAAGAAATGCGTCGTTGCCCCCCGCCGCCGCGCCGAACAGCGAGCTGTAGGTGTCGCCCGCCACGGCGATCCCCGTTGGCGACTCGACCAGAGCAGCTCCATTGTCGGTCTGAGGGCCCCCGAGTTGATACGTCCAGCGATGGCTTCCCGTCGGACGGTAAGACCGGACGTACACCTCGGCGCCCGTCGGCGCCGACATCGTCATCCGATAAGAGGCGTCTCCCACCATCGCCACATCGCCGTACGACGTCCACACCACGTCGGTGGCGGTCGTAAGCTCAAGTCGCTCACCAAACTGGCGACCCCACTGCAGTTCACCCCTACCATCGTAGACCGCGACAAACGCGTCATGGTACTCAGGCGTGGGGAGGAACAACCCTCCCTGGGTCACGCCGACGATAGCGATCTGGCCCTCACGGTTGACCGCTAGTCCGGTGACGCGGTCATCCTCGTCCTCCGTCGCGATCACCTTTGACCACACCAAATCCGGCGGAGACGGCGCCCCGCTGGTCAATGAAGCTAACGTGAGCCAAAGGAAAATCACCCGCGGAAGCAGGCGTCCAAGATCGTCGCCAACGCGGTCGGTCATCGGAGCAACCCCAAAGAAAAAACGGCCGCGGACATTCGTCCACGGCCGCATTCTAGTCGGAAATCAGGCCTGCGCCATTGAGCAGCGTCGTTCGCTAAAGCGGCCGGGGCCCCGCAGAAGCGACATCCACTAGGAAGTCGTCGCGGAGGAAGTCGCGACCCAGCAGAAGCCGGTACTTCATCGACGAACGGTCGTTGAGATTGACGATCGCCAACTTCTGGATGTCACCAAACTGCAATGGCAGACGCACTTGGTAGCGATGTTCGGCTCCGTTGGCGCTTCTCACCTCGGCGTAGTTCTCGATCTTCGTTTCGACCCAGGCGAGTTCGCCCGCACCGTTGTCCAGCCGGACCCGAATTTTCTTATCGATATTCTCGGTCGGCTTGGGCGACTCATCAACGATGACGACATCGTCCGGATCGACATGGATCGAACTGGTCGCCGCGCCCGTATCGACGCGCGCCTCGAACTCCAGACCCGTATTGACCTCTTTGACAACGGCCGTTTCGCCGATGACGGCGGGGGCAGCCTGGGCCGAGTAGCTGAAAAGAGCCGATCGTCCGGTAAGGACTGCGGCGAAGAGAAGAACTAGGCCGATGCCGCGCAGCGGTGTCCACCTGAGCTTCATCGTAATTCCCTCCAACGAAGATGGCTTCCATGCCGGTCCGTCTGGCCCTGGGGAGACAGTTTCTCCGGACGGGGCCAGACCAGCCGTCGGGGAGATTGTTCCAAAGTGGGCGAGTTCGGATCAAGAGCAGATCAATAAAAAAACCCGGCGTTGGGAGGCTAATCCCAACGCCGGGTCTATCAATACAATATGGTGAGTTTGCTCGATTCTTGCGAATCTTGCTGACCTTCTTTACTCAATCAAGCCGCCCCATTTTTCCGCCGTCCCGAAGAACGGCGGTTCTAAGTATCCTTAGAAAAAGGAGGTGATCCAGCCGCAGGTTC